CCAGTTTATAACAGGCCACAAGATCCCCCCTCAGCCTTCTCTTTTGAAGGCTGAACAGGTTCAGGTCCCGCAACCTTTCCTCATAGGACCTACCCTGCTGTCCCTTGATCATACGAGTGGCCCTCCTCTGGACCCTCTCGATGCTGTCCACATCCCTCTTAAAGTGCGGCGCCCAGAACTGGACACAGTACTCCAGCTGCCTCTGTGCCAGCAGGCCCTGTGCAGCCAAGGTGCCATAGCCACTGTGGAAGAGCTACTTTTGCGAAGGTGTCTGGTGCCAGGCAGAGCGGAGCATCCCCTGTGCGGTGCCTTACCTGCCTGCGCACAGCTCAACGTCTCCACAGCAGTCCCAGTGCTCAGCTCCCTCTTGCGTGTGCAGCATGGCCATAGCAGCATCAGCAGGAGCTGGTAACAGTTCCTTCGTTGCTGAGTGTGCTGTCCTGTGACCGCTTCCCAGTGCCCCCTCCTGCTGCTTACTGGGACCTGTTGTCTGCTGCTATAATAATGACTATGCTTGCCAGGGTGCTCCGGGCATGAGGCCATAATTATCAGTTACAACAGCCAAAAAATAAGCTGATGGCTGATTAATGTAATATCTTCTTTAATCAGTGCCGATCTTATAGCCGACTGATATGTCAGCGCACCCCTAGTCTTTTGTTATAGTAAAAGTGCAAGACTACTCATGGCTCTGCCTCAGTCATCTAAGTAAGTCATTACCTGATCTATCATTATGAAGTTTGTGATCAGTTTGTTTAGCAAAGTTAAAATCTGAGTATGTATTCTAGGTAGCCCATTTGGACGCACTGAAAAGATATATGTGCAAAGAAAATTGCTGCTAATAATGTTCTCTGTTAGTATTAGTTTTTTCTGTCTAGAAGCTAATCTTACCTTGATTCCACTGAAGTCAGCCATATGTCCATCTGCTAATGTAATAAATTCAGCTTTCTTAAGTTTCACTACAAGATCAAGCAGAAACATCTGTTTGACTAGAAACCTTTTGTGCAATTTGTTAATCTGACATTTGAACATGGGGATGGGGGTCTGAGTTTGGGGAATTCCTCACTGTAACATGGAATTCATCTGATAACGTGGTTTTGTTTCATTTTTCAGCTCCAAGTCCCACTTCAGCTGTGCCATACGTGTCGATCAAATGCATTGATGTACGAAAAAACCACCACAAAACCAAATGGCTAGTGCCGTGGGGACCCAACCAGTGTGAGAAGATCAAAGACTTTGATGAGGCAGTGAGCAGGCAAATAGAGGCCAATGATATCGTGTTTGCTGTCCATATTCCCCTCCCCCCCAATGAGATGAGCCCCTGGTTCCAGTTCATGCTCTTCATCTTGCAGCTGGATATTGCTTTTAAGATGCATAATGTCATACGTAAGTAACTTGCTGTCTTTTCCAAAATGCTCTAATAGTGCTCAACATTGTCTGCGGTGTGTCTTTCAACTCTTTCCCTTCATCCCCTGATATCACTTAAAACAAATTGTAAACAAGCCACTCAGTTAAAAATATCTGTATCTACAGAGATGAGCTACACATGCAGTCATAGTAGAAATACATAGCACCTCTCTATCGGATGTTTTGCAAGAGTTGTTTGTAGTACTGTATTATTGGGTTTTTTTTAATACTAATATTTTTGTAAACTTGTGGAATTGGAAAAATACTCCAATTCATTTGCTTATTTGCACTGCTTTGTTCCTTTACATTTTAAATTCAGTTTGGCAATGCCACCAAGT